ATAGCTTTAACATTATCAATGGTGTCGAAGCTGTCACCTTCATGGGTTATTGTCTTCCTAGTAAGGATTTTGACAAAAATATGCCTGCCACCACCAAGCCTCGACACCAAGTGGAGTGTGGACTCCTTATGAATGTTATAGTCGGCCAAACTATGACCATCCTCAAGCTATTTCCCAACGAAAATGAGCCTCTGTTGGTTTGGTTGAATGCCTTCCTTGTATCTTGGTTTCACAATTATATTTATGGCATGTATTGTTTATGATATGTGAAAAGGTTGTTCATTTTTTGGTTTTTACGTTGATTGGATGGATAGTTACGAACATTCTTTGCTGTGTCATTTCACTTTAGCACACACATGATACAGGTAGGTAGCAAATTCATTCGAAGGGCTAATTTTTGAGTTGATAATGTGCGTTCATCGAGGTGGGATGACGATTTTTTGCAGAATGATGAAGAGTACAAACAAAATGAAGGTTGAGGCTAAATCAAGAGATATAGTGATTAGCACCAAAAAATAGCCAAAGGGACCCAATCCTGGGTTCATGCCTGAAGGTGCAACTGTGGAGACTATTACTCCTATTCTAATGATGTGGTTAATGATCTCGGGGGGTTATGAGATTACTTCAATTCCATATTGGGCTATGGTTAAGTGAAACGGACATTGAGACAGGACATTTGTTTGTACTCTAATTAAATTGATGTTCATGCTTACTCGATGAAGTAGTAGTATTTTGTACTTTAATTTCATTGGAGTTGAAAATGTTATACCTGCACAAATGAATCATGCTATGTAATGATTTTGTGTGTAATGAATCGTGGTCGAAGGATCGAGGACAATGATTATTGTAAAATTCGCATTACCGTAGTATGAATAATTTGTTGTTATCTTTGCTACGTTGACCCCAACATTACAATCGGTGTATATTTATTTCAACATGCGTTTTAGTGTAAATTAGCTTGTTTGTACAAATTAAAATTTATTTGAACAATGGCTTGTTGTGTCACCCAATGTTCATCTTCATTGGCAGGGACATTAATTTTATCAATTTTTAATGCAATTCATATGATTTAAAATTTAAAAACTGTATTCAATTATGACTAAGGACTACAAAAATTCAGTAAAGTAATTTAACTTCCAAATTGATTGCCAATCCAACTGCAGAAATGTTGCCATTGCAGGTCTTGCACATGGGTACAATTTACTCATAATTCTCACCATTTATGGACTGCATTAAAGTACACTTACACCCTAAACCATCACACCAATGGTCAATCAAGTGTTAAGTAAAAATGAAATGGTGGTTGGTTGCTAAATTGCTTTAAATGTCCTCAAATATCTCCAGTATAAAGTATGGCTTACACTCTTCAAGTGGGATAAATGAGACTCTTTGTGAGGCATCTTGTAGCAAGAACGTATCACAATATTTCAAGTCTATTTTTTCATATGAAAACAATGGCATCGTCCACGGGAAACAATTCACCGTTACCAGTTGAGGAGCCTTTACCAACACCCGGTTCAACTCCGCTATGTCCCATCGTAATTTCTTCGGATGATGAGGAAGTGAGTTCGAATGGTGGTAAGAGAGCCATCACTGTCGTTCCATTTCCGAACCTGGACGAAGTTACAAGTGATGCAGGTGAGTCTCTGAGAAATGTGCTTGAATGGATCATCCCATTTATGGATGCAGACGAAGTTGAACGTCACGAGGATGAGGGGCAGGGTAGCGTTCCATCGCCTGAGGTAATTGTCATCAGCTCGAATGATTCGGATGATCACGATGGGGAAGAAGGGTCAAGTGTTAGCTCCGAGTGAAGAGTCCGACTTTGTTGCGTGTGTGAGTTGCTACGTATGTATGTATAGTATTTTTTTGTAAGGGATGAATTTTGTTACGTATGTACCAATTCTGTAGCATATAGGAAACTCTCATTAGCAAGTTATGTGTATTTTGTATTCTGTTAAGCGGACCGTTGAACAATTGTCAAGAATGGTAGGCACCATCTGTCAGGAACAACAGATGAATTGTTGGGATTTACTGGCAAATTTTCTGTGTACGTAGTATGCATATTCATATTACATGTATTTTGGGTGAACGAACACAACCTCATGTGTACATTCAACGTACTTTGTGAACAATGCGGACAGTGTTATGCGCTAAAAATGATGTGTTCGTAATATGTATATGAAAGGAAACTTGTATAATGGTTGAACATTTCCTATTCCGTACATTCAATTTACATGTATCAATAATGGCAACAATGTTATGCACAACAAAATTGTATTTTGGTTCTAGGCTGTTATGCAGTACGTTGTTTGCGTACTGTAAATGTGAACATAAGAAAGAGTAGTGTTTATGTGTAAGAGAATGAAAACAGTAATACAATATTTACATTGTCATATACAAACGACATTGGGGGATCATCTCACTTACAACTTCAAACACTCACGTACAAAATGCTGCTTACATCGGACGTGGTAGAGTGTGGTTCAAACATGTGGTCCAGTTATGACCAAGTCCACCGCAGCGAGTGCATTTCCTGAGTCGTGTGGTACACTCGTGTATGGATCGCTTACGTTGTGTGGGTGGTCTACATGGAGGATGAAGCACACTGGGGGGCATAATAGGAGTAACTATAATTTCAACTGGTACAATCCAGTCCACTTCAAGCAAAGGAGGATATATAGCTTCTCCATACGCACCCTTCCAATACTCGGATGTGTAATGCGGTGAGCAGAGATCGTACAATGACTTACCTCTCAAGCAAGCAGCACGGGTTGCGTGAACGCACGGCATACGATTCAGTTGGAACTCATGACAAGTGCACGTATTTTCGGAGAAGTCTACGATGTTCGTGTCATTGGATATTTCAACTTGTGTTAAGTTATCTATCAAGCCATGCGCTCGTAGCCAGTACCTGCTTCGAACGTCGTCTGTAACTCATTCTCCATTGCTGGTGACAGTACGGTACTGCATGCGGTTGCACTTGCTTGACGTTCATAAAACCACTTCTACATAGTATGTCGAACGTGCTCCACTAAGCACGTAATTGGTAACGAACGGGCATGTCTCAACATTGAGTTCAAAGATTCTGCGTTGTTGTTGGTTAGAATGTTGTACTATTGGCCAACAAATAGTGCCCGTGACCAAAATGGGAAACCTGCTCACTCAAAGTACCCGTACGCTCTTGCACTTACCCTACGAAGTTGTCCCATAAGTCTTTCAGACTCTTCGGTCCGGTAAGTTCTTATGGCTCTCCTGAATAGAAATATTAAACTTACGTTGTTGTATTGTTGGATTAAATTCTTTTTCATATGCCAGACACAGCACCCGTGGTGAGCCCGAGAAAATAGGTGAAAACCCAAGAACAACTAACCAAGAGGGGGGTGAATTGGTTATTCTATACTTTTTCGAAAATAAATTCAAATATAAGCAAATAATGATAAATAAACAAGATAACACAAAAATAATAAAAGGAAGGGAAAAGAGAGTGCAAACGATGTAATAAGGAGGTTCGATCCAATCACGATCTACGTCCCCCGTTACCAAGCTCTCCGTCACGAGCAAGGCCTTTTTCACTATCTTTGATTGCCTTGTGGTGTAATCCAACCCTTACAATGCTTCCGATGACTTACAACTAAGGAGCACCGATCCTTTTACACGTTGAGCTTTCCGAGACCTCAACACGACCCACAATTCAATAAGCAAGAGAATCAAGGTTACACTTGAAAAGCTTCTCTCTTAACAAATGATATAAATACAACGAAGTATTAAGAGAGAAGTAGGCACAACACCTCAATCGATCACAAAGAATATAGCTCAAGTATTGTGCGAAAGACTTTTATCAAGATAAATGATTTTTACAAAGTTACTTACTCAAAACCTTTTTCAAAAAAAATATTTTGACCTCTTAAAGATTGAGAAATAAGGTAGATGAGATTAATAAATAGCTTTCTTTAATGCTCTAAAATTCACACATTTAAGAAGGTAAAAAGAAAGGTATTTATAGCCATCAATTAGGAGATCCGGACACGTGATTCGGACGTCCTCTTGGTATTCGGACGAGTAACTAGCCGTTTGTCAAACGGTTAAAAAATTTGACCGTTGGGCATTTCATTCGAACGTCCAGATGGCCTTATTTAATTTTTTCATTTCTTGAAGAAAGTTTCTTTAAAAATATTTTTTAACGATTTTATTATAAACTTTTTATAGATAAGTAATGTCATAAAGATTTGATTGTGAAAATTGAATTACTTATCTTTTTGAAAAATAATTTTTATACAAGTCAGGTTTGTTATGATAATTCCCGTGCATGAAGGTTGTTTGAGCTATGATCGATGCAAAATATTAAAGTGTTTTACCTTTACACTTGAGTATACAAATCCATCTATAACTAATGTCTTCATCCAATGCAATTTGGTGTGTGAGAGCTCGATTTTCATTTCCTTGTTCGTAAATCTTGTTTGTATATCGTTTTGCACCAAGGTTGCATGATTTTCGAACTAAATCTTTTCGTGTCATAAATTTGCAATAATCACTATCAATCACTTAAATTCAATTTGTTAGAATCAAACGCAATTTGTTTGTAATAATCAAAATAAGAAGTCAACCATTAGGTCAACAATAGGTGGGCAATGACGTTTTCAATTCTATTTTTCCCGTCGGAAACAAACACCAATTCCTCCGAGTCACCTATAAGATCTTTCAAGTTTGATAAAAACCACATCCACGATCTATTCGTTTCGGCACCAACAACGATCTCCCATGCTAATGGATAAATCTGTTTGTTGGCGTCTTGGACAGTTGCCAGTAGAAGGTTACCTTTGTATGGACATTTCAAGTGACTGTCGTCAACACAAATAACAAGCCTCAAGTAGTGCACGTAACCCCGAATACTTGCACCGAAAGCTAGGAAAATGTAGTGAAACCTGTTATGAGAATCTACTTCGATGTGTGTTACTGTCCCCGGTTTACTCTCTCCTAGGACGTGACAGTAGGAAGAAAGTTTTTGAAAGCTATCACCCGATGTACCATGTAGCATATGTAAAGCAGCGACATTTTCCCTACATGCTTGATGGTAACTAATTTTCACATCAAACTCACGTTCCATGTCACGTGCAATAGCGGTAGGATCATACGATCCATACGTATTGTCCAATTTTCCCATAATCTGCTCGGCAATTACGGAACTAGTGGCATGTCGATGTGCATTACGACGATAATCTATGGAACATGTGTGCACATTGTTGAATTTGCGGATCATGAAGATGGCGGATTGCTTGACACTCGAAGCACGTAACATCCACTTGCAATCATCGTCTGCGCATACAATGGTTAACATTTTTAGGCTTGACATGCTAACCTGAAATTAAAACTTTTCTCGCAAAGCAAGTAGACAAATTCTCGAGTACAACTCTTTCTTGGTAAAAAATATTTTCCTTTCGATAAGATCCGACGTATTCACAGTGGAAATCGTGGAAATCCAGTCGCATGTATCCGGACTTTTGGAATGTGATAATAGTTCTTCGTCAACGTCAGCAATATTACCAGTATTTGT